CGGGGGGCGCGCGGTGAGGTGCGAGGGGCCCGAAACGCCCGTGCGCGCCCCACGCCCGTGACACGGTTGCCCGTGCTAAGAGCGAAGGGGGGGGTGGGCGACGGGGCCTTCTGTATCTCGTTAATAGCCAATTCCAGAAAGATCGGTGCGGGGAAGGCGGCGGCTGCATCACTGAAACACAGGGCCCGTCCCTGCGTTAGAGGGGCCGGGTTTGTAAAGCGAAGCGCAGGTACGTGGGGAGCCGTGGTTACCTACCACGCAAGCCTCTAGGAAAAATAATTCAAGAACGTTATAAAACGTTGTTCTGCCTCGGGCTTACGTGCTGGCTTTTCACCACGCATCAGAAAGAGGCATCTAAAAGCCAAACATAAAAGCAGTTCCATTCATGGTTGCCTCAGTGTTTTTTCTTTTTTTTTCCCCCCCCCCTTTAAGCAGATCGTCTCTCAGGAATACTCTCTTCAAAAGTGGAAAGAGCCCCTTCTACAATGATGAATGCTGATATGGACGGTATAAGTTCTTAATGTTCTTGTTCTCCACTGTTATTTTTCCTACTTAATATAATTTTGAGCTGTTACAGAGGTTGCATTAAAACTGGTGTGATTTATTGCAGCTGTTGAGGCTGAGAATCAGGTGGAATTAGAAGAGAAAACACGGCTTATTAATCAAGTTTTGGAACTGCAGCACACACTCGAAGGTTAGCAGTTTGACACATCAGACTTTTTACAAGCACACAGTAATAAGCAAGAGAAGAGAACCTTTACTGTTCTGCCCTACCTTAGTCAAAGGCTCCAGAAGCATGTCACTTACCTAGTCAAAGGTACATAAGCAAGGTCTTAAAACTACTTTTTTTTCCCCTCTTTATGCAACATAATGTTTGCTCGACTCTCATCATACACATCAAGCAGAAGGGGCCACGGGGTTAACTTTCCCAGGCTCACTAGTTGACACGCATCTTTGAGGCTGCTCAGCGCTGAACTTTTCTTTCCAAGTAGTTTAGTTTGCAATAGCTAAATTCAAAAATTCAAGAAAGGAATAAAGACATAGTCTAATATAAGTTTGTGTAACAAGTTTGCCAAAATACCGTACTACAAAATAATATAGGAAAACTGGGCTTTAGATAAAACTTGAGTAGTACGGTGTTGTATAAGATAGTATCTTACAGCAATGGTTCCCACATTAGAAGTACGAATAGTTTGACGTAGGCACTTATAGAACATAAACATTATTATATGCAGTAGTGTCTAATACTTTTCTTATACCTTCGCAGATCTCTCAGCACGAGTAGATGCTGTTAAGGAAGAAAACTTGAAACTGAAATCAGAAAACCAAGTTCTTGGACAGTATATAGAAAATCTGATGTCAGCGTCTAGTGTTTTCCAAACAACTGACACAAAAAGCAAAAGGAAGTAAGGGTTGACTCACAGATGATGTCATTGTATTGCTGCTGTCTTTTTTTTTTTGTTTTAATTGGCATAGGCTACATGAGCTAAAATACCTTAGTTTGTGGCTTTACTGGATACCTGAAGACTATAAACTTTGGTGATAAACAGAATTATGAACATTGTCATGAACAGGAGACATAAGTTTGTGTATTGTTAAGATTAAGCAATGTGCAAATGTAGTATAGAGACTTACTAAAATTTTGTATTTGTTTTAAAAATGAGCATATCTTGTTAAAATTGGATTCAGTTTGTCAGGTTAAAAGTCTGTTGGCACTCTTTGAGGTCTTAGGGTAGTGTTCTTGACTAGCAAAATAATAGTGATAATATTGTGTTGAAACCTCATTTGATCAAAATACTCAAAGTCTAATTGCATCACCTTTTTCACCTAAAATATATTTACATTACTGTATAGTACTGTCCATAGCTCTGAAAAGCAACTTTAAAAAAAAAAAAACAAACCTATAAATCAGTTAAGAATGTCTATGAAGTAATAACAGTATGATGTTATTTGCAGGGCTTGAGTACAGAAAAATGCTTAAGGTTTTTTGGGAAGGGAATGGTAAGGGAAGAGGAACTTACAACTTAACAATAAGCAACTTACATCAGGGAAATACCAAACTGATGCAGTATCAGTGTTTGTACGATGTACACTTCAAACCATTTTCACTTTCCTGTTGCCTCAAAGAATGATCAGGCACAGCATCATGATGTATGATCTGCCTGAAGCTTCTCAGTTGTGTGATGAAGAGTTAAATAAAAACCCGAGTAATAAGCTTTACAGAAACAGAACGTCAACAGTGTTCCCCACACTCATTGTGAACAGTCTGCAGCGAGGAACTGAGAACAAGTCTTTCCTTGCCACCTCTTACTTTCCTCCTGAAGTGCCAAATATTGTCTTTGCTTCAGGCCTTAGAGCAACTGTTTTCCTGCCCCCGAGCCTGAGCTTGTGAAGCACCTCTTGAGGCACTGCACAAAAACATCTAAGGCAGAAGACTGCCATGGAACAAAGATGGCTTTTGCCTCTCAAATCCGTGCTGCTCCAAGCAAGGCGTAGAGTCAAGGCACCCTGTTTTTCTACTGGCTTGGCTGTTTGTTAGCAGGTTTTGTGAAGGAGCTCAGCCCAGATCATAGGCCTGAGCACTTCCCACAGAGGTGGCATGTCTAGCGCAATCAGTATTAAGGGAGAGCAGAAGCTGAAATACAAACAA